AGTTTCATATCACATTAAATTAGGATCACGCATACTTTTGTCTCTTCCTTCTTGTGGAGGTGCACATGACATCTCCAGAAGCTTGATAAATAATTGACAGTTTGAAAATCACAGCAGAATCCTCCTTTTCTTATTTATTTGCTGAGCACACTTTGCATGCCATTGAAGTAACAATTTTACTCTTTTCCCATACTTCATTTCTGGGAAGTTTTCAGCAGCTGCTATCTCACAATCTGATAGAGTTAGAGATATATGTTTTAAAACATCTGACAGCTGCAATTCTAAGCTGCTTTCATTTAATACACAAGTTTGGTTTCTAGCAGTTCTTAAGAAAGTGGCTTCAGAGATCGTGCTAGAATTGAAATGGGTAAATTCAAAATACTTATCAAAACTGTGATTTTAAGATATAATCTTTCAACCTGCATGACTACACACACACATGCCGTATACTAGAGGGCTCCCACTTGACCATTTAAGACATCTATACCTAACCTTGTTGGTTAAAGAGATGCCAACCTTACAGTCATTGCTGATCTATTTAGTAGAGTTGGCACCCCGTACAGCAAAAACCTGGACATACAGATTATTATAAACATTACTGCCCATTTTAAAGAGAAGAGAAAGAAGAGGAGTGAGAGAGAACTCTAGATATAAATTAAACAAGTAAATATAAGACAGAGACAAATATTAGCAGGAAGGGACTAAATGAGATGAAAAAGGAAAATATCACCAACGCACAATGTTAAATGCACTGTTAATTTCTTAATGTTGGAAGAAAAATGTCTCTAACAGAATAAATTGGTGAAAGAAAGGGTAGAGTCAACTGCCCATTCTTTAGGTGGGAAATTTCATCTTTTAGAACCTGAATCTTTTCAAAATCTTGTAACCACCATTTCCTGTGGTCTCGCATCTATGGCAGAAGTCTTTTTAGCAAATTTCACTGAAAATCGAAGAAAAAGAGTTCAAATCTAGGGCCATTCAATTCTATTGATGGTCTGTATCTCTGCTCACGCAACTCCCTAAATCTTCCAACCAGAAGCCAATTCTACCCAGTTTGTTCAACACAAAGCCTAAAAAAAAGGTATCTTTGTCCCTGTTCATTTTCAGCTTTTCACATTTTAAAAGTACATATGAATAAGTGTGCATGCATGAGTTGCACATGGTCAAATCAAAGATTTATACAACTCCCTATTAGCAGCAACTCCAATTTGTATCAGTGCATCAGGCGTTTCACACCTGCAACTGCAGAGTATGCAAAATATGCACATATTTAAAGATTTAGGCCTGAAATTAGAACCAAATGTTTTGTCACACATGTCATGTTCTGTCAAATTATAAAGACAGATACAAAAGAACACATTTAAAAAGATTTTGTTTAAAAAAAAATAAAATACTGATTTGCTATAGAGTTCTGCTCTTTTAAGAACACTTTCCCTTTTACAATTTGGAAGTACTGAACAAAGAAGAAATTAACTAAGCCAAAAATCAGTACTTTACCCTTGAAAAGACCAACTGCTTGTAGTTTAAAAAGGAAAAAAAATAGTGCAGTTTGACTAAGTGTTCTATCTCCTAAGAGATATTATTTATTAGTGTCAAACTCTGTGCCATGAAATTATTTTACAATGAAATTAAATACCTGATTAATCACAAAAGGAATGGGATTTAGGCTAAACTGGTAAAATAAATTACATGATTAAAGAGAATGATTTCTAATATAAATTAATCCTAACAAGCAAGTCTTCTTTCTTGCTGCATTAATGCCCCTTTTGCTAAATAATTAAAAACATCACTTCTCAACATTCCCTATTAATTTAAATGGAGCAGTTTTACTGCAGAAGAATAAGTACTATTTTGAAGATCCAAGGAAACAGCTTTTGTGTTTGTTATTAACATAATTTGTAATTTATTGTCATTTTTGCTACATTTTTGGTTAAAAATAAATTATACAATAAGACTACAAAGTCTGTCTGCACAATTCTACCCATTCTGACACCTCTAATTTTAAACAACTTTTCCCCCAAAAGTTTTCTGGTGTAACCATTTAAAACAAATGAAAATTCTTCCAAACTTCTTCCAAAAAATAACAAAGGTCGAAGATCATGATTAACCAATGAACTCAATAAGGGAGAGGCATAAATCTAGAGATGAATATATAAAATTTAGATTATAGGTTATGTCCGGGTAAGATGTACACATTTGTATAAATGTGTAATTGAAACATACTAACTCTGCATTTGCACCTACAAGAGAATGTCTGTATATGCAATTAGTTGCCTAGGATGAATATCTGTATATTTTTTGCAAGTGTATTTCAGAATACAGGTTTTGAAGTGCTGACTCAACTGGACACATCTACACAACATGCTGACTGTGCAGTAGCTCGTTACTGTTATGCAGTAGCATTCTATGGGACGAAGTGTGATGCAATGCTACTGTGCAGTAGTAATCATCTAGTGTGCAGTCAGCATCACCTAAAGGCCATCTGGCAACGCTACTGTGCAGTAACTCCAATTACTGCGCAATCTGACTACGTAGTAATAACTATACCAGGGGCGTCCAACCTTTTTTGAATATGGGGCCAAATCATGATCTTTTTATCACCCAGTGGGCCAGCAGGAGCGGGCACTCACGCGGCCTGTCCAGTCCAGCCGCGGCCTGGAGGGGCAGGGGTCAAGGGGCGTTTCCTGACCCCACTGTGTCCTCCCTACCGCCGGCGTGGCCTCGAGGATGCTTCCACACCTGTGCATCTGAGCTCAGCAGCCAGGGGCACATGCGGGGACACTACAGGGGGGTGTGGGACAGGCAGGGACACCCCCCTGCTCCCTCTCCCCTGGGGCAACACGAGCCCGACCTGCAGGGCTCCCTCCCTCCCCAGGGCGTGTGACTCACCACCCCCAGCGAAATGTCTGCGGGCGCGGGGGGATGTGGGAAGGAGGGAGAGGTGCCAGCTTCCCGCCACAGCAGCAGTGGCAGCAGCATCTCCTGCAGGCCTGGCCACAGCATCCCTCCGCACTGGCATCCGCACCCCCCACACCTGCCTGCCCGCTGCACCGCGACCTGCTCTGGCCTACACGGCCAGTGGGACTCGCACAGGGCGGGGCCAGCATGCAAATGAGGAAGAGAGGGGCGGGGCTAGGACAGGACAAAGTGAAATGAAGGGGGAGGGGAGGAGCCCCACTGTGTCAGAAACGCCAAGCTGACAAAGTGCATGTAGGAACCTTGTCCCTTCCCCAGCCCTTCAGCAGCCATTAGCAAGCTGCTGAGGGGCTAGGGGAGGGAGAAGGGGTGGGAATGAAAGTAAACAGCATTTACTTTCATTTCCCGTCACAGCACCACAGGCCACAGAAAATGGCTTGGTGGGCCACATGGCGGCCCGTGGGCCATATGTTGGACAAGCCTGAACTATGCAGTCAGCGCCTTGTGTAGAAATGGCCAGTAAGTAGTTACTCCTATCCTTAATCCCTGCTCCAAAACACCTTCAAAGAACTATTAAAAATCGATACTTGCCAGTTAACCCATCAAAACAACAACTGTGCATCTATCCAAGATTTTTTTCTAAATTACCCCCTTCTACCTGCCCCCTATTCCCAGAATCTCTCTGCTCCTTAATTATCCCTCAGATCAAACATGTTTCCTACTCATGAACGTCATATGCCACCTGAGGCGGGGGGCGGCATGACAGTGACCGCCTGCAGGTGGCGGTGGTGTTGGCAGTGTGCAGGGAGCTCTTGCAGGTGGCTGCAGCGGTGTCAGTGGTGAAGGAGGCGGGGGTGGCAAGCGCTGACCGGCAATCTCAGGGGGTGCACGTGCACCCGCATGCACCCCCTATGCATTGCCAATGTTCCTACTTATCTTCTCTGAACAAATAAAGTCACAATTGCTATGTGACTCTGGGTTCTATGTTAAAGGCCCCGTGCACCTCACCCTATTTTTTTTAACACTGGTTTCTATCTGAGAGAACAATGAAGATAAAAAATTAAAGCAAGCAGGCTTAGTGCGAGGGACAGACTGGCTTCTCCCAGAAGTCCCAGTTATCTTTGGAGTCCAATTTTGCAAGGCTCAAGTGGATGAACACATATGAAGACAAGGTCCCTGTACTGAAAAGCACCAAATGTCAGCAGGTACTTCAGTGGAATGAGGAAAGGAAAAAAGCTACTAGCATTTTATGTACATTTATGTATGTTTTAATAAATGTATCACTTAAAGACAATTCTAATGATATAAAAATACCAAAAGATATCATAGCTGTCCACAGCACCGTTAACTCTGATTTCTTATGGATATCACAGTAGCCATGATCTTGAGGAAAGATATGAAGGTGGAGAAGGTAGTGGCCTATTATCACTTCCAGTTTCTTAAAATTTTCTTTTGAACATCCTAGTTTGTAAACCTCACTTATGATCCAATATGAATACTTGTGTTAAATAAAGACAATACTTTCCTCAAGAATTCCTGTTTTGTTCATTAAAAAGGATGTATTCAGCCTGGAGTTCCTGTCAAGTGCTCCTAAAGTTTCTCTTGATCAACAGCTCATTACTGAAATTATATTCGCGGATATACAGCATTTGAAATAATTTCAGTCAGACATATATTAACTGCATTATAATAAATATCATAACACAGACTGTAACTTGAAAATTACTTACAGAACAAAAGTTCATATAAATCAAAGAAATATATATCATCAGATAATAATTAAAATTCTGTTGTAAGTGCTTCTCCTTCAGCCAGGCTTGAGTTGAAACAGTCTGAAACAGTTTTAATAGTAGCAACAAACCACAGGTAAGATAGAAAATTAAATGTTATAGAATTAAAATTGTGATTATTTTTAATTAAAAGAAATTGTACAGTAAATAAATAAACATTTTCCTAGAAAAGTTTTAGGTCACAAAGGTGTTTCACTGTATTTGCACAGCTGACCTGCTAAAGTATACTTGTGTGCAGCAAGCACATGTGCCCTTCTAGCTTCACTCTATAGTGCAATTAGGGACAGAACATACCTGTTACAGTTTTTGTTTTGACAGGGCTGCTGGCATACTCAGAGGCTTGATTTGACTGTTGTTTTGCCAAAGGTGCACTTCCAACCGACACCTCATCCTCTTTTTTCCTCGTTACTGGCAAACCCAGAGGAACAGTTCCTACAGGCTGCTAGAAGGAGAAAAAAAAAGTATGTAGTAACTAAATCAGAGAAAATTAGGATATGTAATAAAACATGACACCACCATAGAAGCTGCTTCATTAACTGTTGATTTCCCCTAGGAAAAATCTTGAATTAGTAATTAGAGCATGTATATTGTGAAAACAAATTTACATATTGAATACCTTCAGTAAGTATCAAATAGATTGTAATTTTTAAGTGTTTTCTACCCAGATCTGTATATGCAGCTCTTGATATTCCTACTAATCTATATACTCAAGTGCTCAATCTCTGACCTGTAGGCCAGAGCTGGCCCACAGCCCCATGCCATCCGGCCCATGGGGCTCCCCATGAGTTCCGAAATTTGGTAGGAGGAGAACAGTGACAATGCACCCATACTGCCAAATCTCTAGACCCATTGGGAGCCTAGGGCCCAGTGTATTGGATCCAGTGCCTGATCTCAGCCTGCAGGGCTGAGTGGGGGCAGAACTGCACCTGCAGGACACAATCCCAGTACTGTGGGGTGCAAAAGAGGACAATGCTAGGCAACCTGGGAGCCAATCCTGGCAAGCAGGGACAGGAGGTGGTCATGCTGGGCCCTGAGACCCAATCTCAGAGAGGGCAGGAGGAGGCCATGCCAGGCCCCTGGGAATCAATTCTGGAGAGGTTGGTGCCAGGCCCCTGGGACCCCAATCCTGGCACATGGGCAGTGGGAGTGGGTGGTGCCAGGCTGGCAGAACCTAATTCTGGTGCTCTGGGGGGAGCAGCAGGCCCCTGGGATCCAATCTTGGTACATGGGGCAGGGAGGGGGGTGGTACCCAGCCCCAAGGCCAGATCTGGCCCATAGATGGCCTGTGGGGGCAAAAGGCTGAGCATCACTGCTATATACTGTTTGAAATTATTTTTATTAAGTGGGCAGGGAATGCTCAAAATTGAATCTAAGCAGCATATAATAATCTAACCAATTACCAAAGGATACCCTGAAATAAGATTTCACAGGTTTCACAGACATTAGGACTGGAAGGGACCTCGGAAAAATCATCGAGTCCAACCCCCTGCCCCAGGGGCAGGAAGTCAGCTGGGGTCACAGGATCCCAGCAAGATAAACATCCAATTTTTTCTTGAAGGTGTTCAGAGTAGGTGCCTTAACCACCTCTATTCCAGACCTTGGGGGCTCGGACAATAAAGAAATTCTTCCTTATGTCCAGCCTGAAATGGTCTTGCAGGAGTTTATAACCGTTCGACCTTGTCATCCCTTGGGGGGCTCTGATGAACAATCGTTCCACCAGATCCTGGTGAACACCCCGATAAACTTATAGGTGGCCATCAGATAGCCCCTGAGCCTGTGCTTTTCCAGGCTGAAGAGTCCCATGGCTCTCAGCCTGTTGTCGTAAGGTCTGTTTTCCTAACCTGATCATGTGCGTGGCTCTCCTCTGGACTCTCTCAAGCTTCTCCACATCCTTTTTGAATTGTGGAGCCCAAAACAGGACGCAGTACTCCAGCTGTGGCCTCACCAGGGCCAAGTACAACGGGAGAATGATGTCCCGGGATTTACTTGAGAAGCATCTATGGATGGAAGCCAGCATTTTGCTCGCTTTACTAGCTGCAGCATCACATTGAAGGCTCATGTTCACCTTGTGGTTAATCATGACCCCTAAGTCCCTTTCATCCGTAGTGCTAGCCAGCATAGCACTGCTGAGCTTATAAGGATGCTGCAGGTATTTCTTCCCAAGGTGGAGAACCTTGCATTTTTCAGTGTTAAACACCATCAGGTTCTCGTCCGCCCATTTGCTGAGCCTGTCCAGGTCAGCCTGGATCGCCCTCCTGTCCTTAGGTGTAGATGCTTTACCCCAGAGTTTGATGTCGTTGGCAAACTTGGCTAGTCCGCTTCTGATACCAATGTCCACATCATTAATGAAGATGTTAAATAGTACAGGCCTAAGAACAGAGCCCTGGGGAACCCCACTGGTCACAGGGCACCACGATGATTGACTTCCGTCAACCACCACCCTATGGGTCCTGCCATGGAGCCAATTCCCCAGCCAGTGGATCATGGTGGACTCGAGGCTGCAGTTGGCCAGTTTTGTCAACAGGTGATCAATGGATACCAGATCAAAGGCTTTTTCGAAGTCAAGATATACAACATCAATCTCCTCTCACTCGTCCAGGTGATAGGTCACCTGGAAGTAGAAGAAAATGAGATTAGGCAAGCAAGATCTACCCACAACAAACTCATGCTGGCTATCCCTCAGGATGTTGCCATCGGCCATCGCTGAGGATGGCCTCTTTGATGATTTTTTCTAAGACCTTCCCTGGGATAGAGGTCAGGCTGATGGGCCTGTAGTTTGCTGGATCCACTTTCCTCCCTTTCTTGAAGATAGGCACCACATTGGCCTTCTTCCAATCTTCGGGCACTTCACCAGAGCACCAGGAACTCTTGAAGATCCATGCCAGGGGTTGAGCTATGATGTTAGCCAGCTCCTTGATTACCCTAGGGTGTAAACCGTCAGGGCCAGCTGACTTGAAGGTGTCCAGCCTGTCAAGATGTTCTTTCACGAGGTCAGGATTGATGGAGGGCAAGGGCTCTCCCTCATCTGGGCCTTGCTGTCCCGTAATGGGCAGGGGCAACCTGTGTTGCAAAGTACTCATTTAGTAGGTTGGCTTTTTCCTGGGCATCAGTTGTCAGCTGTCCCTTCTGGTTTAGCAGGGGTCCAATGTTGCCCTTGCTTTTCCTCCAGCTCCCCACATACCTAGAAAGGACTTTTTATTGTCCTTGATACTTTTAGCTAGTTGGAGATCTGTCGCAGCCTTTCCCTGTTTGCTCTCTGCAGCTCTGGACCAATGTAGAGTATTTCTCCTTGGAGGTGGATCCACTCCTCCACCCTTTGTAGGTCTGTCTTTTTAGATACAGGAGGTCCGCTAGTGTCCTGCGGAGCCAAGGGGGCTGCTGTGCCCTTTTGCTGCCTTCCGTCCGAGATGGGACAGACTTTGCTTGCACTTCCAGGATCACTCCTTTGAGGAGCAACCACTCATCCTGAACTCCCCTCCCCTTTGGGTCATGGTCCCTTAGGGCCTCACTGACGAGCCTCCTGAGCTTGTCAAAGTCAGCTTTCCTGAAGTTGAGGACTTCAGTGTTGCTGACTGTCTTGCCAGCTTTACGGAAGATGGTGAAGGTGATCAGCTCATGGTCACTGTCACCCAGCTTTCCATCGATTGCTAGGTTGCTGATTAGGTCTTCCCCGGTTGAAAATACCAGGTTGAGCAGTGCTTTACCTCTCGTTGGCCCGTAGACCTCTTGTGTCAGATAGAGCTCATCCACGCACGAGAGGAAGCTTTGTGACCACTTGGATTTAGCTGTGTGTTCTCCCCACGAGATGTCTGGGTAGTTGAAGTCTCCCATGACAACCATGGACCTGGATCATGCGGCTTCAGCCAATTCCCTGGCAAACTCCTGGTCAAGCTCTCGACTTTGGGTGGGAGGTCTGTAGTAGACTCCCACCATCGTGTCCCCTGTGCTGTGTTCCCTATGGATTTTAACCCAGAGAGAGTCTCCAGCCATCCACCCTGGTTGCCAATGTCAGCTAGCAGGGATGCGTAGCTCTCCTTGACATTGAGAGCTGAGGTTAACTGAAGTTTCCAGGAACAAAAAGATTTTAATCAAGAATCATGAATTCTAAGGTATCTTAAATAATATTAAATTGTACAGCCCTTTACATCTGCAAAATAATCCACAAATCAATGAAAACACAAAGTGAAATGAAGTAACCATTGTTATTATTTATATAAGGCTATATGTGCTTTTAGTGCTTTACAGAAAAGAGCTTTAGTTCAAGTACCCCGCCGCCATTTTTAAGAGCGTGGATGCTGATATAGAAGACGCTGCGGTGCTTTACTCAGAGTGGTTCTCGGAGTTGCTCTAATTAAAGTGCTGCCCTTCCACCCCCAGAGCACATGGGAAAGTGCCCACAATGGCAGCGAAGTTGGTGTTTAGGGATCACTGATGCAATGCTGGTAACACTGGCTCCAGCAAGGATGCTGGCATTTGTGAAATGATCTTTCCACTTGATGTGGAGGATTTTCCAGAGGTATTGTTGATGTTACCTCTCCAGGTTCTTGAGATGATTATGATAGGTCACCCATGGTTTACATCCATAGAGGAGAGTGGGGATGATGACTGCATTGTAGACCTGGATTTTGCCATCTTTTCAGGGAGCATAATCAATTAAGACATGTTGAAGCTATTTATCAAAGGAAGTACTTCTGGTCCTGTGCTGGATCTCTCATCCATGTTCATTCTTTGAGAGAGATGGCTACCAAGATAGGGAAAGTGCTCAACTAACTTTAGGGTCTCTACCTCTATGGTAATTTGGGAAGAGGGGGGTCACATTCATGGCCCAGAGCAGGCTGATGGAACACTTTCTCTTCTCAATGTTAAGAGAGAGGCTCAGAGTTTGGTAGGCTTCTGCAAAGAGATCAAGCAGAGTTTGGAGGTTTCCCTCAGTGTGCACAAGGATTATTAGGTAAATAGTAGGTACATCTGATATGACAATAGTTGCCAACATATGACAGTCAGTAGGAGAAAACTACTATGTACTCTCACTGTTGATTTTACTGAAGATTATTATTTAAAGATGACAACAATTTCTCAGAAGATCAGGCAGGAGGAGAACATGATTTTTAATCAATTATTTTATTGTTTAAATTTGTTGGGATTGAAGTGATAATGTAATTCATATACTTGGGAAGTGAGAAACCTCACACGTTGCAGAAGAAATCATTGTGGGGAAACAGTTCGTGTGAGGCAGAGCAATATGCTTGTAAATCTTCCCCAATGGAAAACAGATCACTACATTAACCAGCGCACAAAAAAAAAATCATCCAAGGATAGAGACTGCAAAATACCTTTAACAGAGCTCAGAAAGTCCACAAGGAAAATAAAATTAGTGCAAGAAAAACAAGCTGTCCATCAGAAAAGTCAACATCAAACTAAGGAAATAGTATGCTTTAATCA